CAGCACCTTCACCAGCCAGGGGTTGAGCAGAAAGTAAACGGCGGTATTGTATGTATGTATGTACATATGTAACGTGTAAATAATGTAAATATGGATTGACAACGGTTTAACTGATGTTCTGAAGGCATATACGTGTAGAAGGGAGGGGTTGAGGGGGGGTCGTGGTGTACTTTGGGGGCTCCGTGGGTCATGAGGGGGTGGGGGCTCCGTGGGTCACTTTGGTCAAAAATGTCGCATTTCACCCAATCACGAAAAACTCATCGGATATCGACGAAGCTCGACGCCGCGGTCACGCCCAAAGTTGTTTCACTTTCCAAATCGTTTTTTTTCGAAAGATATCGCGAAAAACAAGATTGTGAATATTTGCCCGAACGGACCATACAGAAGCAGGTTATTTATGGGTTCGAGTCCCGACGGAGCGATTTTTTTCTCGCTATATTACCCTCCCCAAAACCAAATAATAATTTATACACCCCAAAGCTATATTATATATGCCCAATTCCAAACGCCCAAATTCCAAATCTAATTTCGTGCTTCGCTCTCAATTTCACCAATTAATTTGTTGTTAAAGGTAGGTGTTCATAAATTCCGAGCCGCACGTCCGGACATTTGTCATCTTTATCCTCTCCCTTCTTCCCCTCGCTCCTCGACAAGCTTTTGCTTAGACATGGGTTGTAGCGAAGGGGGGGGCCTTTCTGGCCGTTGACGTAGGCAGTGATGCCCATCTCATTTTTGTGCGCGGAGGCAGACACCATCAGAAAGGTGGACGGGCACTACACGGCCCTAGATTTGCTAGAGGGAATTACATCCTCTGGTCTCTGTTGGAAGCGACGCGCTGCAAAGCTCGTTGTTAGTAAAGTTAGTTGTTCGCAAACAACTACTCCGTCAGAATCTTGTGCAACTAGTTGTTTACAACTATTCCGTCAGAATCTTGTGCAACTAGTAGTTGCCTGCAAACAACTACTCCGTCAGAATCTTGTGTAAAACAGGGTTTTCGCACGATTGAGAGCGAAGTTTCTAGCTAGAAGTTTCCGATTGAGAGCGAGAACCAAAAAAATTCGAAATTCGGGTCCAGATGCCTCCCGTCATTTCTCGGGAAGCAGGGGACGGGCTCTTCCAAAAAGCGGCGCAAATTGAAGCTCTCTTCAGCAGCTTCGCGTGCATATGCGTGTCACTGCGATCGGCTGCAGCAGCGAGGAGCTACGCACGTTGCTAGATTTCCCCAGATCAGCTATTCCTGCCCGAAACTGTTTCAGGGCGCCGTGGCCTGGCGCGGTAGGCCCTCCCGTAGCTTCTGCTCCGCGGTGTAGCTCCACAACGCGAGACACACGCAGGATGACCCGGGTATTGGCTTGTACCTATGGGCAAGCCCTTCAAGTCAAGCCGCACAGCAAGTTCTACCTCTCACCAGTAGACAAGCTACATCGTATCGCACGATCTCGCTCTCAATCAGATATTTCGCTCTCAATCGTGCGAATATGTTGTTGTAACTAGTTGCCTCCAAACAACTACTCCGTCAGATCTTATGCAACTAGTATTAAGAACAACTACCGGGTAGTCTGATTGTTGGAGCAACTAGTTGTGAATTAGTTGGTGGTGACGAAAAGCGAAATAGGCAGTAGGAATAGACTATGTGCGATATACATGCGTTTCACGTTGCTCTCGGTCTTGTTCGGAGTGTTCAATATTGAGTGTGTACAATAGCGTTGATGGCGGGGAACGTTTTCGTGTTTCTTGTTTGTCGTTTTTTCCTTCATATTTTCGTTGCTTGTGAATACCATCATGGAATCAGCACGGACGGTAGAAGGAACGAAGGAGAAATCGGAAAGGCTATATAGCGGTAACCACACAACAGTGACAGCAGTGTTACTCTGTATGGCTGTGACCACGGGCTCGAGAGATAGGCGTATATGTTTGCGGGAAAACAAATTGCGGACTACCCTTGACGTCGTTCTTCCTGCGCACTACTTGCACACCGATCGCAACTGTTGCTGGATGCTCAATTGCTCGCCGCCACGCCCCTTCCTCTTGTGCGTGATTACTTCCAGACCAACAAGTACGTCAACTTATGTGCCGAAGAGACCAACCCGTCCCCGCTTCAGCAGCCCCGGCATCGAAAGAAGAAGACCAGGACGGGGTTGTCGTACGTGTCTTCGGAGGACCGTCCTGACGGATCCAAAGTCTACGGGTTTCACCGGAAGCACCTGTACGGAGTGATGGGCATCCTTATCTCTGCGGGGATCACTCAGAAGCGTAGGCTGACGGACCACTGGGGAGTAGGGGACCACGCCAACTACCCTCTTGTCCGAAAGTGCATGCCTCGCGACCTCTTCACGCTCTTCTACTGCCGGTTCTTCCACATGGCTCCAGTCATCGAGGCTCTCTCCAAGACGCATCCAGAGTACGATTCCAAGCATCACATCAGGTAAACGTGTTGTCCTGTGGCATGTTTTGTACGCCTCCGTGCAAGGGAGGGTGGCGAGGGCTCGGTCGGCAACCCTCCAGCGTTGTAGGCGGGCGGGGGAAGCCCGTATACTTAAAGGCTTGCCGTAGTTTCTTTTCCTTGGTTTTTCAACATGATTCTTCGTCCGAAGTGGTTGATTCAGCGCCAGCGATATGCAAGACCCCATCGGGGGGTGGTTTGGTGTCGCAGGGCGCGTCCGTATCATATTGTATGAGTAGATTGTTTATGGCCTTGAGTGTACGCAGCTTTCGTAACCACAGGCAGGCTCCCATGGATGTTTCGAAAAACAAAAGCAAACGCAACGCAGATCTTGCCTTATCCCAGGGGCTTCGTCACGTTCACATGCGTTCTACGTTCGTTGCCTCTCCCGTTTTGTTATCGTCGTCCATCACGTCCTGCAGAGCATTCGAAGACGCACTGAACACATGCTAGAGCTCTCTTGTGGAACTTGGAGGATGGGTGTCGTATAACGAGCAGATGGTGAAGAGCACGGCGAGAGCTATGCACGGGCTGATGAGATTCAACCTTCAGAAGCCCGTCAAACACGGTAAGTTGAATNGTCGTCCATCACGTCCTGCAGAGCATTCGAAGACGCACTGAACACATGCTAGAGCTCTCTTGTGGAACTTGGAGGATGGGTGTCGTATAACGAGCAGATGGTGAAGAGCACGGCGAGAGCTATGCACGGGCTGATGAGATTCAACCTTCAGAAGCCCGTCAAACACGGTAAGTTGAATTGTCTCTACGATGAGTCTAGGAGAGGCCACCGCTCCCCGCTCCGAATCAAACACACGTTCGCACTTGTAGCGAAACCCATGCAACTTTTCTGGCAACCTTGTCGCCGTGCTTTTTTTATCTCTCTCTTCTGGTAGCATGTTGGTGCTGTCTGATAAGTGGTGTAAAACGTCGTGCCTCGGGGCATTCTTCACATATTCCCCATGAAAAATTGGTGTACTTCACGTGTAGTTGCCGCTACAAGCATGGGTTTGTTTTCAACTGCACATGAAATTCGTTTGATTACCTGTCGCGCGAAGACAACAGTGACATGCCTTTACCGCTTGCGCTGTTCGCTTATTTCGCATATTTGCCGGCGACGCTTGCGCAGGGATTCCTGCGAGGTGTTTAGCAACAAGATCAACAACTCCGGAGTCACCGTCGCCATGGACAACTATTTCACCAGTGCTGCTGCTGTCGCTAGCTTCCCGCGACATTTTTGCCGTGGGTACGCTGCGCGGCAAGCGCTCGGGTTTGGACGGCGCGATGGAGCTCTGGCAGAACAACGAGGAATCCACCAAGGAGAAGGGAGACATGATCTTCGCCCGCAGCAACGACATCGTCATCATCGAGTGGGTGGACTCCAAGACAGTACATCTCATGTCAACCAAGCACGTCTTCGAGGAGGATTGGAACCCGCTTCTGTACACGTGAGTAGACTCGTAAGCATGATGCGTGCGTGAAGTTGTGGATTTCGTCGGGTTCTTTGTTGCGTTGCTGCTCTGCGCATGAACGGCGTGGAAAAGTCGGTGCCGCCGTTGATTGCGTTCGGGTTTTTTTTTTAGATCAGTGTCGCGTTCCTGCTCTCGGCGTGCACGGCATGGAAAAATCGGTGCCACCGTCGATTGCGTTCGGGATTGTTTTTTTATGAGATAAGTGTGGCGTTGCTGTTCTGTGCGTGTACGGCGTGGGAAAGTCGATGTCACCGGCGATTGCGGTCGGTGATCTTGGATACGATCGCACCCGGGGCTTCCATTCCACCGTCTGATTTTTCGTCTCGCAGTTTTGAATCATGCACGGGGCTATTTCACACTGCATCACGTTCGCGGAAAGCACGCACCATGGGATATGTTCACTTAATTCCTACGCTTGTGGACTTGCCTGCGATATTGCGTGTTCAAAATTTGCAGGAAGCGCGCTGCGCTCAACGACGGAAACAGCGTGTCGAGCCTCCAACCACTAGCTCGTCTGGACTACGTCGTCAGTATGGGTGGCGTAGACGTTGCCGACCAACGCCTCATGGCCCACCAGCATGGTCACAAGCTGAAGACGAACTTTTGGCGGCGTGTTTTTGACCAAAACTTCGCTCAGGCTATCAGCAACGCCTATCTTCTGTATGCGGCGTGGGCAGGCATCTTGACCACCCAGTGCGCGGCGGCGGTGGTGGTGGCTCCCGAGTCCGACGAGGGTGTGGTGGGTGCGGCGGCCTCGGGGAATGCGGCGGGCGCGGCGGCTT